GTGGGAAGTGGCCTGCCTGGTTTTGGTTGTTTGTTCTTGATTTCTTGCTTCTTGTTTTACTTTTCCTGGTTTACTTGTTTATTATTTTTACCTTTTGTTTCTTATTTTCATTTTTTTTCGGATACAGGCGAATATGAGCACGTTACGTCTACATGTTTTATATAAATATTTAATGAACTAGATACATCATTGCATATAATCATATATTCCCTCCTCAGCCGAAGTACATTTAAATACTGCTCGGAGGACAAAGATGATAAGCATGAATAGATAATGAAGATAATAATGCAGGTGACTGTCTCCCCAGCCTGCGGATGCTCGCTGTTCGGGTCGGTGCGCGACGACTGCGAGCAGATGACGGGGCAGTGCGTGTGCAAGCCGGGCATTCGGGGCAAGAAGTGCAACGAGTGCCCCGAGGGACTGGTGCTGGGCCCCAAGGGATGCCGGGCCAGTGACGTCACCACGCCCCCGCCCCGGTCCTGCGCTGAGCTCGAGTGCTACTTCGGCGCCAGGTGCCAGGAGCACGAGGGCCACGCCGAGTGCAAGGTGGGCGGCGGGCGGCCTGGGCTCTCTTGCCTTCCTTCCTTCCTTCCTTCTGTCGGCCTCACTTTCTTGTCTCTTCTTTCTCTCTCTCTTACTTTGTTTATTTATAGAGTCAGGTAGATTAATGGCTTCATAAGAAATGACAGAGATTAATTAATTACATGATTAATGAATAAATGAAAAAATATATATATATTCTTTACCATCATTTGCAAGAAAAGAGTCATCAATAACGCCATTACACGTGACGAGCTCAGTTATCAATAACCTAACGACCATGTGATAACGCTCCTTTTGCTCTCCCCCCCCCCCAGTGCGATGCCCAGTGCCCCGAAGACACGTCCTCGTCCCCGCGGCCCGTGTGTGGCTCTGACATGGAGACATATGCCAGCGAGTGCCACCTGCGCCTCTTCGCGTGCCACTACCAGAAGGACGTGGTAGTCGACGCCCTCGGCTCGTGTCCTCCTCCAGGTGAGTGGGCGGGGCTTGGGGAGGATTACGTCATCGCACAGCACGTCACAGTCTCGGGTTAGAAGGGGCGGGGGTCAGGGAAGGGGTTCAGGGTTGGCTTGTATGGATGTGTTTTGTGTTTTTGTATTGTTTATTATGTGTGGATGGGTGTTATACATTCATACATACATGCATATATATGTATATGTATATACATATGAATAAATTATACATGACGTTTACACACACACATACACACACACACACACACACACACACACACACACACACACACACACACACACACACACACACACACACACACACACACACACACACACACATATACACACACACACACACACACACACACACACACACACACATGCATATATATGTGTGTGTGCATATATATATATATATATATATATATATATATATATATATATATATATATATATATATATGTAATATATATATATATATGTATATATATATATATATATATATATATATATATATATATATATATATATATATATACATATATATATATATATATATATATATATATATATATATATATATATATATATATATATATATATATATATATATATATATATATATTCATTCATATAGTATATATGCATGTGTGTGTGTGTGTGTGTGTGTGTGTGTGTGTGTGTGTGTGTGTGTGTGTGTGTGTGTGTGTGTGTGTGTGTGTGTGTGTGTGTGTGTGTGTGTGCATTTACGTATGCGTGTGTGTATGGGTATATATTGTGTATACTGTGTAAGGTATACAAATATACTTTACATATAGACCCGCGCATATGCAGAGCACCTGCAGGCGTGCTTTGTGCCGTGTCTGTGGGCCCGAGAGTGTGACGTGCGACCGAGGGAGGTCCAGGGAGGGAAGCACGCCTGTGTCTGTGTCTGTGCCTTGAGCACCTGCACTGCGCCCTCGTCGCCTCGCTCTCTATCATTCACCGCACCTTAAATATAAACAGAAAAGAAAGACTAAGACGAAGGCGTTGCTCACAAGTCTCCGCTCTTCCTGAGGGCGTGCGGAGACCTGTGGGCGACGCTGGTGTTGTTGAACTGATGATCAAGGAAAGCCAAGAGGTTTCTTTACTTCAAGACTCTCTTATCATGCTAAGTCTGAGACCCAAGTCCACTCCACAATTCCTTTGGCCTTTGTGTTAAGATCTACCCGAGTCGCTTCCCTCAGTGCCTTAAACTGACTGGCATTCCTTATAAACTGAATGACATGAACACACTGTATACTTTCACTAAATCTGAACTTTTTTTCTTTCGCACGCAAGATCTTTAGTATATTTTTCTTTTTAAAAAATAAGAAGAAAGAAGAGAGAGAGTCAGAGAATTCTCGAGTTGTCTTCCCCTTTTTAAAGTCACAACCTAACGTAATTCTGATCTGAAAGTTGACTTAAACATCACATATAAACTCCCATTGTGTCCCAACCCTCGTGAGCGTAATACTGTCAATGTCTGGAAGCGTGTAGTTGTGTTGCACCAACGACCTCTTGTGTTAGACTCTCACTAGACTTTGCCGTAGTTTTAGTTCCTCTGAGGCGCTTCGAGGCCAGCCCAAGAGTTTCTGGATATGGCAGTAGGACGCACATTTGTTACACGTGTTGTCATCCACCTGTGTTGCACTCCGTTTGGCTAATGTTGCTATGGATTCTATTATGTGACAACCTCCCTCCCGCCGACGCTCGAGCCGCGGCCTCTGCGGCTCTCGAGTTGTGGCTCTTTCGAGCGGCGCCACACACACGCGCGGCGCCATCCACGTGGCGCCGCGCGTGTGTGTGGCGCCACTCGGGGACCTGCAGCACCGCTCTCCTTTGCGCGGTGCTGCATGTATGTGTGGCACTGCTCGTATGTGTGGCACCACACCGATGACTGTGGCACCGCTCCTATGTGTGTGGCACTGCTGTTACGTGTGGCGCCGCCCCTACGGCACCGCACCTATCTGTGGTGCCGCCCCCGAGTGTGAGCGCCGCTCTCATGTGCACCATGAACGTAGGCAACCAATCCGACGGCGTGACGGAGTCGCCGCTGCGCCGGTCCACCGCGCCGCTGTCGACGGAGCCCCACCGCGAGGAGGCGGCGAAGGCCACGCGCCACCTGCTGCTGCCCGAGTACGTGATCGGCGGCGCCCCCGGCTCCAGCACGCACAGCCTCTCCAACAGCATCTTCAGCGTGCCGCCCACGCCCGTCACCATCGCCGCCTTCGGCCTGCTGGGCTCGATCTGTTACCGCGACAAGGACTGCTCGGTGCCCTACTCCCGCTGCAAGACGTCCATTTGCACGTGCCGCAGCGGCTACACTCAGAGCGCCGACCGTCAGACGTGCGTGGGTAAGTCTCCCGACAGGTAAGGTGCTGCATTGCATGGCTCGCTTGCACCTGCACTGTGTACGTTAATGGTCCGTTTATATCTTTAGGTGTGTCTCATGCATAATGACTTTTCCGTACCATCATTCTCTTAATCATGTCGGCCTTTGCTCACTGGAATTATGAATCTTGAAATGACGCGATGACGCGAGACTCGAAGGGGATGACCTGACGCCTTGTTTGGCCTCTCCTCGCGGCAGTGACGACCCCGGGGCGAGAGGAGGTCGTCGGGGCGTGTGTCCGGAGGCCCTGCCAGAGGGGAGGCACCTGCCGGGAGCTCACCAATGGAGGGTACAGCTGCCAGTGCCCCCCCAGGACCACGGGCCTCCAGTGCGAGAAGGAGCTTCCGCCGCCCTACGAGACGCCCTCCTTCAGCGGCTCCTCCTACCTGGAGGTCAAGAAGATCAAGGCCTACAATAAAGTGCAGGTGAGATCCTGAAGACCGAGCATTTCAGAAAATTGAATGGACTCGAGACGCAATAACGTTGGTCAGTGTATAGTACGCGTCTCGGTATCTCCTTGTTTATTGCGCCTTTGTTGTGCATGTCTTAGATTTGAATCCAAGCACCGAATTTGAATGAAGGAGTAACCATGTCTAATCCAGAAATATTATTTTTAAAAGATCTATCAAGATAATTGGAAACACATAAGAGCAACCCTTTAAAGTACCTATCATATACTCTTGCAAAACGCCGCTAACTGAAATATTTTCCATCCATTAATACTTTCCAAACTCAACTTGCGAAGAGCCTCACCTCATCCTGAATCCTCCTCCCAAAACAGCTGGAGCTCGAATTCCGCACCTTCACGGACAGCGGCATCCTCCTGTACAGCCAGCAGCAGCCCGACGGATCCGGCGACTTCATCTCCCTGGCGCTGGTCGACGGATACGTGGAATTCCGCTACAACCTGGGCTCGGGGCCGGCGGTCATCAGGAGTCATCACAGGGTGCAGATGAAGCGCTTCCATAGGGTAGGTTGGGGTTGGAGGTAGGGGTGGGATGGGGTGCAGTGGGGGATGGAGGGAAGGGGGGTGGAGAGGTGCTTTGATGGAGGAAGAGAGAGAGAGAGAGAGAGAGAGAGAGAGAGAGAGAGAGAGAGAGAGAGAGAGAGAGAGAGAGAGAGAGAGAGAGAGAGAGAGAGGAAGGGAATAAAACGAGAAATTCCGAACATGTCCGTCTATGCAATTAAACAAGAATACCAAAGCTCACCAGAGGAGCCAACAGTCTTCCTCACGGAGTCTTCCTGGTCGCTCCTGCAGGTGGTGGCCAAGAGGTACCAACGCGACGGCATCCTGCAGCTGGACGACGCCGAGGACGCCATCGGAAAGGCCCCGGGGACACTCAAGAGCCTGGACCTACGAGGCTCCACCTACGTAGGATACGTCCCAACCAACGAAAGGAGGTGCGTTTGAGGCCCTTGGGATGCGTAGGACATCGGGGAAACCCACTCTATAGAAAAGGGTTTCCGGAAAGATGAGGCGATCATTTTAAAATCTTTGGTGTATAAGAGTCTTACATTTACATTTCATCCTTGTGTATTATAGACTTTATTTTCTTGGGGTATTTTAGATTTCCTTCTCTTGTTTTGTGGGGAGTGTTGTGTTATTCCCATTAAGAGTTATCATTTGATATAATTTCTTTAAATGTTATTCACTTTCTTATTAATTATAAGGTGTTGTTTAATATATAAATATTTCCATCATAAAGAAAGTTCACCCGAGCCACGACTCCCCAAACTCACTACTCGTGCCTTTCCCCCCCCCCTGCAGAGTTTGGGAAAACGCGGGCACCTCTGAGGGCCTGGTCGGTTGCCTGCGCTCAGTCCGGATAAACGGGCGTCCCCTTGACCTGGTGTGGCCCGGCTCCCCCCACGTGATCCGCGCCGAACACGTGGGCGAGTGCTCCGCGTCGCCGTGCGCCAACCTGCCCTGCCTCAACCACGGCTCGTGTAGGCCTACTGACGACGGCCATTTCAAGTGTCTCTGCGTTCAAGGATTTATCGGTGAGTGTTTGGTGGATTTAGAGGTGGATGGTGGAAATGGTGGCAGTGGGGATAGTGATGCTGCTGCTGTTAACAGGGTTTGTGTTAAGGATTTGTAATAATTATAGTATTAGCTAAAAGGGCTAAACATATTAATGAATAGCTTTTATAGTATTGTGCAAATTATTGAAATATCATTTTAAATACTTTTTTGTTGTTTTCGCCCAACAGAATTAAAACAAATAGAGATCATTTTTAATTTACTGCCGTATATTGCGCAACACATTCTGTTCAATTATCTCACTCTGAAATTTAAAAATACACGTAAAACATAATATCAAGCTTATAATGCGATAGTATCTTCCCATATCAATAGCCACTAATAGACTTATGGCATACGCAACAGAAACATAAATCAAGTACTAAAGTGACCCATTTTTCCCGTCCTCGCAGGGGAGCGATGCGAGGTCAAGCTGGACCCATGCGAGAGCCAGCCGTGCCAAGCTGGGGCAACCTGTGTCACTCTCCCGACCAAGGATTTCCTGTGCAAGTGCCCCCCTGGCAGGAGAGGAACGCTGTGTGACCAGAGTGAGTATTTTATTGTTATTCTTTTGATACGCATGCGGTAATGTACATAAGTTTAAGAAATCGCTTTCGCCACGTGGGTTCACATATTAATATAGTATTATGGGCTTATGTGAGGAAGTTTGTGAGAGATGTTATTGGTATTAGGTCGTCTGGTATATTTCCATGAGGCTTTGAACACATAGGAATCAGAATAACGAAATCAGACCAACTAAGCGCGTCCCTTCCGCAGTGGACCGCACCCTCCGCGAGATGGTGATCCCCGACTTCGACGGCGACGCGTACCTGGAGCTGCCCACCCTGGAGAACGTGGGCATGTCCTTCGCCCTCGAGATCTGGTTCCTGACGCGCTCTCCCGACGGCGTCTTGCTGTACAACGGGCAGATGGGCGGCGGAGGAGACTTCATCGCACTCAACCTGCGCAACGGACACCTCGAGTTCTCCTACAACCTCGGCTCAGGACTCGCCACGCTCGTGTGAGTTGACGGGGACTTGTGTTTGGTTGAGGTTTCCTTATTTTCCCTCCTTCTCCTTTGTTTCTTCCTTCGTCTTCTCAAATCTCCCCCCCCCTCCCCCACTCCTCTCCACCTTCCGTCTCCTGCCTTCCCTTCCCCTCCCCCTTTACATCAGTGGATAGTCTGCATTGGGTATTTTGAGATGCAATGTTCCTTTATTTAATCAGTTGCATTATAGATTGGTATTTATTTATTTATTTTTCATCATTATTATTCTCTAGATCGTTACCATAAATTGATCAGAGTTTGTTAGGGCATGCGAATGGGAACATGCCGGTGCTAACACAGCCAAGCTCGTTGCGACTAAGTGGACAGATTCACACCCTTAAAAGAGCAAAAGACAGTCACCTTTTTAAGGAGTGTCTGGCATTTAACACTGTCATGTTCCGTTTTGTTTGTGAAAATGTATGTCACAATAGAACCAGCAGCTTTACCCACACCGAATCACCAACTGTAATATATTGTTTCAGATTCAGGCTGAAGTAAGTAGTGGGCCACTGATGTAGGTGGTAAACAAACTTCAGGTCAGAGTGAGCAACACGAACAAGCACATTTGTTCTTGAACTTACTCTGGCACAAGTAATGTTTATGTTTATCTTTGTCCTTGCGGTCTCTCAGTCACCCTTGAGTATTTCACTCATATTGTAGACCTCGCTGTCCTGTGACCTCTCTCGGCTGGACGCGGGTCATGTCGGGTCAATACAAGTGATTCTTCTTCTGCCAGAGTTGCAGGCTTGTCATGCGTTGCATAAAAAGTGTTCTTGCACCATCTGCAATATGAGTTTCTCACACGCATCCCCGACGAGCGAGTGTTCGAATCAAATGAAAGCTTATGAAAAGATTTTTTTTCCCTCTCGCCAAAGGTTTATTTGATTCGAACAAGTGCATCGGGGGTTTCTTGTCTCGAAGGCTAATTGCAACGGTTGATTTTCCTGTAACAACACATATAGTTTGCAAGATTTTCGTATCACTCACGTTCGTTTGTTTACACAAAAGATTATGCTCGATTTTATTTCCCTTTTCCATTACTTTTGTATGTTTTATTCGCCTCTTTCCGGCAAGTAGAATCTCTATATTTTTCCCCTGGCGGAAAAAAAATGTTCGATTCACACGTTATGTTTTGTTTCATGAGCTTTTCTCTGTTCCTTTTTTTCTTTTTTTTTTCTTTCTTTGATGGTGCTTCACTCTCCCAAAAAAATAAAGCTTTGTATTTGCGTGTTGTGTCGTCCAATATTTTTTTTCTGAACGAATGCAAGATGAAACATGGCACACCTCAATGCGTATTGTCCTTTTCCAGTCAATATGAACCCTTTTCCCTTGTCTCTTGTGACTTCATTTTGCTGTCAGATCAGTCGATGTCAGTTTGTTCATGTACTGCAGTCCACTAATTGCTAAATGCCACGATTGATGATTATTCTTAGCCGATTTCAAATTCCTGACAATCTAATAGTAACGATTTTCATTTTAAAAAAATACATGACATCCCTGATCCTGTATTAGTGGATATGCGAGCAGTGGAAACTTCCTGTCTCAGGGAACTATATCAAACAAGTATGTATGAAAGAGAGAGAAAGAGAGAAACGAGAGTCGGAGAGGGTCATTGGGTGTCACAAAGGGGTCATTGGGTGTCACAAAGGGGTCATTGGGTGTCGGAGAGGGGTCATTGGGTGTCGGAGAGGGGTCATTGGGTGTCACAAAGGGGTCAGTGGGTGTCACAAAGGGGTCATTGGGTGTCACAAAGGGGTCATTGGGTGTCGGAGAGGGGTCATTGGGTGTCAGAGAGGGATCCGGGGTGTCGGAGAGGGGTCATTGGGTGTCACAAAGGGGTCATTGGGTGTCGGAGAGGGGTCATTGGGTGTCACAAAGGGGTCATTGGGTGTCACAAAGGGGTCCAGGGTGTCGGAGAGGGGTCATTGGGTGTCACAAAGGGGTCATTGGGTGTCACAAAGGGGTCATTGGGTGTCACAAAGGGGTCATTGGGTGTCACAAAGGGGTCATTGGGTGTCACAAAGGGGTCCAGGGTGTCGGAGAGGGGTCATTGGGTGTCGGAGAGGGGTCATTGGGTGTCACAAAGGGGTCATTGGGTGTCACAAAGGGGTCATTGGGTGTCACAAAGGGGTCATTGGGTGTCACAAAGGGGTCATTGGGTGTCGGAGAGGGGTCATTGGGTGTCGGAGAGGGGTCATTGGGTGTCACAAAGGGGTCATTGGGTGTCACAAAGGGGTCATTGGGTGTCGGAGAGGGGTCATTGGGTGTCACAAAGGGGTCATTGGGTGTCACAAAGGGGTCATTGGGTGTCACAAAGGGGTCATTGGGTGTCACAAAGGGGTCATTGGGTGTCACAAAGGGGTCATTGGGTGTCGGAGAGGGGTCATTGGGTGTCGGAGAGGGGTCATTGGGTGTCGGAGAGGGGTCATTGGGTGTCAGAGAGGGATCCGGGGTGTCGGAGAGGGGTCATTGGGTGTCGGAGAAGAGTCCGGGGTGTGGAAAAGGTGTCATTGGGTGTCACAAAGGGGTCCAGGGTGTCGGAGAGGGTCATTGGGTGTCAGAAGGTGGTCATTGGGTGTCACAAAGGGGTCATTGGGTGTCGGAGAGGGGTCATTGGGTGTCGGAGAGGGGTCATTGGGTGTCGGAGAGGGGTCATTGGGTGTCGGAGAGGGGTCATTGGGTGTCGGAGAGGGGTCATTGGGTGTCGGAGAGGGGTCATTGGGTGTCACAAAGGGGTCATTGGGTGTCACAAAGGGGTCATTGGGTGTCACAAAGGGGTCATTGGGTGTCGGAGAGGGGTCATTGGGTGTCGGAGAGGGGTCATTGGGTGTCACAAAGGGGTCATTGGGTGTCGGAGAGGGGTCATTGGGTGTCACAAAGGGGTCATTGGGTGTCACAAAGGGGTCATTGGGTGTCACAAAGGGGTCCAGGGTGTCGGAGAGGGGTCATTGGGTGTCACAAAGGGGTCATTGGGTGTCACAAAGGGGTCATTGGGTGTCACAAAGGGGTCCAGGGTGTCGGAGAGGGGTCATTGGGTGTCACAAAGGGGTCATTGGGTGTCGGAGAGGGGTCATTGGGTGTCACAAAGGGGTCATTGGGTGTCACAAAGGGGTCATTGGGTGTCACAAAGGGGTCATTGGGTGTCACAAAGGGGTCCAGGGTGTCGGAGAGGGGTCATTGGGTGTCACAAAGGGGTCATTGGGTGTCACAAAGGGGTCATTGGGTGTCACAAAGGGGTCCAGGGTGTCGGAGAGGGGTCATTGGGTGTCACAAAGGGGTCATTGGGTGTCACAAAGGGGTCCAGGGTGTCGGAGAGGGGTCATTGGGTGTCGGAGAGGGGTCATTGGGTGTCACAAAGGGGTCATTGGGTGTCACAAAGGGGTCATTGGGTGTCACAAAGGGGTCATTGGGTGTCACAAAGGGGTCCAGGGTGTCGGAGAGGGGTCATTGGGTGTCGGAGAGGGGTCATTGGGTGTCACAAAGGGGTCATTGGGTGTCACAAAGGGGTCATTGGGTGTCACAAAGGGGTCATTGGGTGTCACAAAGGGGTCATTGGGTGTCACAAAGGGGTCCAGGGTGTCGGAGAGGGGTCATTGGGTGTCACAAAGGGGTCCAGGGTGTCGGAGAGGGGTCATTGGGTGTCACAAAGGGGTCATTGGGTGTCACAAAGGGGTCCAGGGTGTCGGAGAGGGGTCATTGGGTGTCGGAGAGGGGTCATTGGGTGTCACAAAGGGGTCATTGGGTGTCACAAAGGGGTCCAGGGTGTCGGAGAGGGGTCATTGGGTGTCACAAAGGGGTCCAGGGTGTCGGAGAGGGGTCATTGGGTGTCACAAAGGGGTCATTGGGTGTCACAAAGGGGTCATTGGGTGTCGGAGAGGGGTCATTGGGTGTCGGAGAGGGGTCATTGGGTGTCACAAAGGGGTCATTGGGTGTCACAAAGGGGTCATTGGGTGTCGGAGAGGGGTCATTGGGTGTCGGAGAGGGGTCATTGGGTGTCGGAGAGGGGTCATTGGGTGTCGGAGAGGGGTCATTGGGTGTCGGAGAGGGGTCATTGGGTGTCGGAGAGGGGTCATTGGGTGTCGGAGAGGGGTCATTGGGTGTCGGAGAGGGGTCATTGGGTGTCGGAGAGGGGTCATTGGGTGTCACAAAGGGGTCATTGGGTGTCACAAAGGGGTCATTGGGTGTCGGAGAGGGGTCATTGGGTGTCACAAAGGGGTCATTGGGTGTCACAAAGGGGTCATTGGGTGTCACAAAGGGGTCATTGGGTGTCACAAAGGGGTCCAGGGTGTCGGAGAGGGGTCATTGGGTGTCACAAAGGGGTCCAGGGTGTCGGAGAGGGGTCATTGGGTGTCACAAAGGGGTCATTGGGTGTCGGAGAGGGGTCATTGGGTGTCACAAAGGGGTCATTGGGTGTCACAAAGGGGTCATTGGGTGTCGGAGAGGGGTCATTGGGTGTCGGAGAGGGGTCATTGGGTGTCACAAAGGGGTCATTGGGTGTCACAAAGGGGTCATTGGGTGTCACAAAGGGGTCATTGGGTGTCACAAAGGGGTCATTGGGTGTCACAAAGGGGTCATTGGGTGTCACAAAGGGGTCATTGGGTGTCGGAGAGGGGTCATTGGGTGTCACAAAGGGGTCATTGGGTGTCACAAAGGGGTCATTGGGTGTCACAAAGGGGTCCAGGGTGTCGGAGAGGGGTCATTGGGTGTCACAAAGGGGTCATTGGGTGTCACAAAGGGGTCATTGGGTGTCACAAAGGGGTCATTGGGTGTCACAAAGGGGTCATTGGGTGTCACAAAGGGGTCATTGGGTGTCACAAAGGGGTCATTGGGTGTCACAAAGGGGTCCAGGGTGTCGGAGAGGGGTCATTGGGTGTCACAAAGGGGTCATTGGGTGTCACAAAGGGGTCCAGGGTGTCGGAGAGGGGTCATTGGGTGTCACAAAGGGGTCATTGGGTGTCGGAGAGGGGTCATTGGGTGTCACAAAGGGGTCATTGGGTGTCACAAAGGGGTCCAGGGTGTCGGAGAGGGGTCATTGGGTGTCACAAAGGGGTCATTGGGTGTCGGAGAGGGGTCATTGGGTGTCACAAAGGGGTCCAGGGTGTCGGAGAGGGGTCATTGGGTGTCGGAGAGGGGTCATTGGGTGTCACAAAGGGGTCCAGGGTGTCGGAGAGGGGTCATTGGGTGTCACAAAGGGGTCCAGGGTGTCGGAGAGGGGTCATTGGGTGTCACAAAGGGGTCATTGGGTGTCGGAGAGGGGTCATTGGGTGTCACAAAGGGGTCATTGGGTATCAGAGAGGGGTCATTGGGTGTCGGAGAGGGGTCATTAGGTGTCAGAGAGGGATCCGGGGTGTCGGAGAGGGGTCAGTGGGTGTCACAAAGGGGTCCAGGGTGTCGGAGAGGGGTCATTGGGTGTCAGAAGGTGGTCATTGAGTGTCGGAGAGGGGCTAATGGGTGTCAGAGCGGGGTCCGGGATGTCGTTGAGGGGACTGCGTGTTATTGCGTCGTTTTGCAATTATGTGCAATACTGTAGCGTTAGTATGATATATGTTATGGTAATGTTATTATGATGATCTGTTATTATGGTTATGATGATATACTGTTATGATAAGATCGGGACATTGCTATTTACTTTGCTCAAGCATTATTGCAAATGTACTTATAGCCATTTATCTTACTATTGCAAATGTATTTATAAATATCCAGCCATTTATCTTACTATTGCAAATTTACTCATATAAATATCCAGTCATTTATCTTACTATAAATACAACATTCCTAATATAACAAAAGAGCTTAAGTACAAAACCATTATTGGCATCATTTCATTAGTTACATTATAACATTTCAAAGCCACTCGCTGTATAATTACAGAAGTGTTTTAATCCTGCCGAAAGGTCACTTACATCAGCCTCCTTTCTCCTGCGTTAGGTACCGTGGTCCCCCCTGCCTGCACAACCCCTGCCAGAACGGCGGTGTGTGCCAGCCGTTCCTCAGCCGGTTCCTGTGCAAGTGTCCAGCCTCGTTCACCGGAAAATTCTGCGAGAAGCGTACGTTCTTCGGGGTTCTGTCTTGGTCTCCTTTTCTAGTGGCATATATCGTCAATGTAATCGGAAAGACTGAGCTTCATCTTGGAAAAGATATTTTTTTCCTCTCCCTGTCGGCTTTTTTTTTTAAGATTTGTTCACTGTAAAAAAAAGTTGTCTAGTCAATATCCCATTTTGCGAGGCCAGTGATAACAGCTAGTAGCCGACTGTTCATTCTGTTTCCTTCTTTGACAGGTTCTGACGAAAACCAGATGATGAAACCAGTCAAGTTTGACGGCAAAACTTTCCTGAAGTTCCCCAACATGGTTTACAGAGTGTAAGTGTCATGTCCAGCCCGATGGTTGCTGTATTAAATACTAACATATATTCTAGAGATACTAACTTTAGTCTTGAAATGCAATATTAACTATTAACTATTGTGCGTTGTCGGGAAATGCATGTAGAAACTGTCTAACATAATACCACTTATGGTAGATTGTAGATATTGGCGGATACCATATTTGCTTCCATTTCTTACTTCTCATTAGCTCTCCCAGATTCACAAATCCATTACCGATACTTTCCACGTGCCATATTCGCTTTCCTTCTCCGTCCTGTTTTTTTTTTCTTTTCTCTCTATTCCCCTATCGCCTCTCTTCTTCCCTCTCTTCCTCCCTTCTCTCCACCCACTCCTGTTTCTCATCCTCGCTTGCTTCATTATCATTTTTATCACCATTCTGCTTCGCCGCTCTTCGGTCCAATCGCTTCTTTCTCTCTTCCCATTATATTCTCGACTGCATTTCCTGCTCTTCTCGCCTTCGTCCCTGAAACCTCGTTTACATATTAATTATTTTTTAGAGTTATTGATATCGGCTTTTACAATATCGGTTCTTTCCTGTTACTATTACTCGTTTTCTTATTATTACTTGTCGTTAAGGTTTCTCTTTATTTACGTCTTTATTATAACACGTTTTCTGTTTGATTTTGTGCTGTCGGCTTCCACTCTGTCGGTCCTTTCTCTCTTTATTCGTTGTTGTCTCTGTTCCTTATCGTCGTATCGTCTCGTCTTATTCTCTCTTTCTCTATTTTTTTATATCTTTTTTTCTCTCACATTTCTCCTTATCAGCTTCGATCATCACTCTTTATATCCACGATCTCGCGCCATATCCTCACTTCGCTATCCCTTTATCATCGTTCTCTCATTATTCCTTCGTACCAATTTCTTGTTTCTTATCACTGCGTTTCCCTCCGTCGACTCGTTCTCTCGCACTTCCCTTCTTATCATAACTTCTCATATCTCATCGCTATCTTCCCTCTCGCGTTCTCGCTTCGTTATTACAATCTCTTATCTTATCGTCCTATCGCCCAATCTTCGTCTCTCTCTCGACCGCCCACCCCTTCTGCGCATGCGTCCGAGCAGCAACCTGACTCGCTACAACTTCTCGACGGACGACTACGGCGACTACGACTTCCCGGAGCCTTGGACGGACCTCGACCTGAATTACCCCACCGAGGACGACCTTGATGATGATATCGCTTTCCTCGAGGAAGAGGACTATGAGGAAGATGGGGAAGAGGGAGGAGGAACAGGAGGAGGAGGAGGAGGAGGAGGAGGTGGAGGATCCGAAGACGAAAAGGAGGGTAATGCCTTGAGGAAGGGAGAAGGAGGAGGAGGAATAGGAGGAGGGGATAAAGGAGAAGAGGAAGGCGAAGACTACGAGGCGGGGTCGGGGTTCCTGTCTCTCTTCGGGGACGACGAGCTCCTGTCGGCGCTGGAGGAGCAGGAGTACTACCGCTTCGAGGACACCGAGGATCCTGCCGAAGGAGCGGCCCCGATGGGCAGCGCCGTCGAGGAGAACATGATCCAGGATGCGGTGTTCGCGGAGACTGTGCCCGAGGACAACAACGCGATCCTGCAGGAGCTAGAGTATGACGACCTCGTGGGGTGAGCGGCGCACTAACACGCATGAGTTCGCTTGGGGCTCTGGAGGGGGGGGCTTTTTAGTATATATATATATTATATATATATATATATATATATATATATATATATATATATATATATATATATATATATATATATATATATATATGTTGCTTGTTTAATAGTAATATTACTGCATTTTATGGTAGGTTTCCTTTTGTTATTGTTATTTTTCCGTTTTATTTTATTTTTATTTTTTGCAGATTATCAAAGTTTAGAAAGGTTTGTGTTTTGTAGTTTTCATTTACTGTTTTGTATTTATTTATATATGTGTGCAATGAATTAGCTTTTCTATTTTGAGTCAAGATATTATTTTGTTTTTTATCTGCCCTACGGTAACAGAACATTTTCTTATACAATATTTAGAAATAAGAATATATATACAAAGACTGTCTATGTGTGTCCTACCGGAGAACACGAATATCATTTACGTATTTTTTGTTCTTTTTTGGGCGATTTCATGAATTCATTACTTCATTTGCCTTTGTTATCTATGCGTTAAGCTTAAATATGATAGAATAGCAGTAAGAAACCTCACTTCTGTGGAAAAAAAATATCCACCTATCATAAGTAAAACATGATAAATAAATAAATAAATAAAAATATGAATTTTGCTGTTGACCCAGGGACGAGCAAGCCTCTCGACCTCCCAACTCATCTCCCAACCTCGCTTCTCTCTCCAGCAAAAGAGGCCAAACAACCAACCAGTTCGAGATTCGTTTCCGCGCGACCAGTGGCGACGGTTTGCTCGTCTGGCTCAACAAGGGAACGACGCTCACCGGAGACTACCTGGCCATCGCAATCAACGGCGGTTTTATCGAACTATCTTACAACCTCGGCAAGCAGCAGACGCTCCACATAGTTAGGTCTAAGGTGAGATTTTGTTTATCTTTGTGGGTATGTAAGTATATGCACGTGCGCACGTACATACGCACATATATGCGTGTTCGTTTGTGGTCAGGTATGTACAAATGGGATTTATTAGATGTAGATGTAGGTGTTTATTTCATAATTAAAAGATACAACTATTTGTCTAATATTTCATAAGTCAAAACAGGTTTTCTTTTCGAAACATAAACCCCATCGAACAACTCATATAAAGCGCTAGCAATGGCAATCCTAACCCGGTGTTCCTGTGCAGGTGCGCGTGGACGACGGCCAGTGGCACACCCTGGTGGCGCACAGGAGGAAGCGGCTGGGCGTCCTCAGGGTGGACAACGAGCGACCGGTCAAGGGCGTCTCGGAGAAGGGCGCCACGACGCTCAACACCAACGGCAAATTGTGGATCGGTAAGCTTGGGTTTCGTGTTCGTGGAATAAGAGGACTGTGACGTGGAGGAGTACTAGCGCTGTGCTAACGGGATATTTATTTCGTGTTTGTGTTGGTCGACGTGTTTGCGTTTCCATGCGCGCGCGGATATTAACCAAACGCAGTCTTTAGCTCAGTAAAGTTGAGACCAACAATATAACCGATCCTCGCCCTGCCCACCACGCCTCTGAAATTAAAAAAAAAAAACAGAAAGGCCTCCCATTCCCCCCCCATCCTCCCTCCCTTCTCTCACCTCTCCCTCCCCGCATCCGCAGGTGGCTCCCCCAGAATCCCGGACGGACTACCGCGGGCGTACTACCAAGGCTTCCGCGGCTGCATCGACGCCGTGCAGGTGGAGAACCGCGACCTGAACCTGGTGACCCACGGCGACGCGCAGCTGGTCCGGTTCTGCGACGAGATGCGGTGAGGTTCGTCGCTCCCCCCCCCCCTCCACCCCTCTCTGCGGCGGATTCCTGGTGCTCTCCACGCGACTCCCAACAGCTGTGCATCTCTCCTGTGCTGGATAATGTGTTTGAGGAAAAAAAAAAGATGAATGAATAAGAAGGGAGGAACAAAAAAAAAACACGACCGGATGCAGCAGCTTTGTCGAGTTGCGATGCTAAAAAAAAAAAATAGAACAAAACATTAAAAAAAACATATTTAAGAGAAAGAAGAAATTCTATTTTGTATATGGGGAAAACGTTATTCTGTTGTTCGAGGAATGGTAGTGATAATAACAGTCATTATGACAGAAAAACAACAACTTTATGGTGGCGATCTTAAGCTGTAAGTGATGGTGAAAGGTGCGTACAGATTCCATGTACATTTCAGTGCTTTCTAGTGACTCCTTACTCTGCCTACAGGACGCGAGGTTCTGAACCACTTTGTAGGTTGTTGTGCTTGGTGAAGGAAAATTTATCATCACCGTTCTTTTCAAGGAAGTTTTCAAAAGAACGAGACTTAATGTCGACCAACCATTAGACAAATTAAACTAGGAAAATACTCATTCGTTATCTTTCTTTTTTTTTAATCGAAGGGGAAATGTTATTCATATACTTATGAATAATCAGCTAAATATTAAAGATCTGTCTGTGTTCTTTACTCCGTGTTCCAAAACGTGATGGTAAATCGCGAGGTTCTGAACCCACTTTGAGGTTGCTTGTGCTTGGTGAAGAAAAATTTTATCATCCCACCGTTCTTTTCAAGGAAGTTTTCAATAAGGAACGAGAGGACTTAAGGTCGACCAACCATTAGACAAATTAAACTAGGAAAATACTCATTCGTTATCTTTTTCTTTTTTTTTTAATCGAAGGGGAAATGTTATTCATATACTTATGAATAATCAGCTAAATATTAAAGATCTGTCTGTGTTCTTTACTCCGTGTTCCAAAACGTGATGGTAAATTACAAGGAAGATCTGGACTTCTCTCGCTACACAAACGGGGAACAAAATGAACAGCACAAGTGAAGTAACTTGTGCTCTTGCTGTAAATATGATATTTGTTGGAAATAGTCATAACAAGTGAGTGAATGGAAGAGTGTGTAAGTAGACTTTTTTTCTGAAGCTGCCTAAAAAAAAAAGAAAAAAATATATATATGAATAAAAAAATATATAAAATGAAATCCTGGGACCTGGCAAAATGACGACTGAAAGTTAAAGAAGTTGTTAAGAGTTCTTCAGACGTGTTTTCATTGATGTTGACAAC